CTCAGTAGTGTCAGCACTATAAAGGTGCACACACCGTCGGGTAATTTCCACTCTTAAACACCCGAGTTAACTTGCACGTTGCGATTTTGTAAGCCCAAAACTGCTTCTTGGGGCCAGAGCTTAACATCAGAGTCATTCAAGTCTGGGAGTAGGTTAGAGTCAGGAGTTGTGTGAAATCTGTTCATCTAATAGAGTATTTGGTATTTCAGTGTGTAGTACACTAACTAGTAGGGATGTTCGGGGACTTCCAAAATCCCTGATTCATTTCCAAGTGTATCTTAATCACCTCTGTGATTTTGGCTGATTATAAACAGCCCCTTGTCCTGCTTACAATTCTAAATGTAAAAATAGGCCAACCATCAACTGTCTAAAATCCCATTTGCCTTTAGCTTTTATTAGCTACTGATTTACAAGTATGCCCAGTGCTTCACAATGTACTCATTCTTCTCCAGGGCTTCCTATACAACCAAGTACTAACCTGATGGATTTCTCAGGTTGGGCCCAAATGTGCTCCTCGGCCCCCAGGTGTGCTGCTTTGCATCAATTGCACATTAGGGTTGTCATTCGGCCCTTCTCTGCTTATGCATCAAGTGATCTACATAAAATAGGAGATCCAGTTTATGATAATGTACATCCAGTTGAGTGAATAAATTGAAAAATGTTTAGCTATTAACGCAGAGGACATATTTCATGGAGGGTTTCTTTTAAAAGAAGTCTTTCTCCTGGTAAGAATACATTTGCATCTTGTCTAGTTAAGCCAGTGAAGCAATTTAAGGACGGTGTTTATGATCTTGAAAGTAAATTAGAAAATAAACTTTAGATTACGATTATGTAAACAGCACAGCCTTCTGGAAGCTAGAAATGAGACTAATGGAGAATAAAGAAAATGTGATATTTGTGATCTTAAAAGGATAGGAATAAATTATGGAAAAGTGCATCTTTAATTATAGATTTTCAATTTCTCCCAAGTACATTTGGAATATCTTACAATTTATAGTTTTAAAATTCTATTAAGTAAAATAAAGTCTTAATGTCTAGTTAGAGATAAAGGAGCTATAAGTCTTGACAACGACCTCTATTAAAATATTCTTTTTGCTTATTCACATTAAGTTTTTTCTAAGCCATATTCACAACCTATCCTTTAGCAATCAATGAAGATTTTCCTTTGGTGCTGCATGTATGTATGTATGTAGTTAAACGTATTCACACAACAAGATTTAAAATACCTGGTGATGGTTTGGGGGAATGAGGAAGAGACGGGCTTTTCTAGTGCTGCGTGGAGCAGGGGAGGTGTAGCCTGACGCTGCAGAAAGAGCTTGCTAGTTCTTAGAGGATTGTGGGTGAAGTGAGTGGGGTTCACTATTTCTGAATAAGATGCCAAATTTTAGAGCACGGGTAAAGACTAAGTCCTTGTTATTTTGAGTTCTTGTTATTTTAATTACATACCAGTTCCCAGATAACGTGCGATGACTGTGGGAAGAGCCCATTGATAGAGAGTGGAAAGCTCAGGTTTGACAGGATAGTATCAAGGAGAATGCGACCATATTGATTGGGGTCACATGTCTGAGCTTTAGGAGAGGCCGTGGCTTGTGAAGTACAGAGTTCAGTGTCAGAAGGAGGGGCCGCAGGACTGTGCCTTTCTGGCTGTCACGGCCCTCCAAATCCCAGGCATCACATTCTCTCCACTCAGCCTCTACTCTTCTGCAAGATTCTAGGCTCCCCAGTACCTAGAGCTCATTATATACTTACTCAGAAATAAAATCATTATTCAGAACAGAGTGCCAAAAGGGGCCAACATGGCCTGGAAATGCGATGGTGAAGGGGAGGCCAAGTGGAGGGCAGCAGACGGGAACAGATTTCTCTCTACAGGTGAGGAATTTCCACCGTGTGAGTTCCCTATTGCCTATTCTCTCCCAATGCCTGTGAAACCCTATACCCATTGATAAGGACCCATCTGCATCCCCTGACCCCAGGCCCTGACACAGCCACCTGCTGCTCTGCACTGTCTGAGATCCTCTGCCCTGATGGTCCCAAGATTTTTCTTTTAATATATTTTATTGATTATGCTATTGCAGTTGTCCCATTTCTCCCCTTTATTCCTCCTGCCCTCCACACCCCCTCCCACCCGCATTCTCCCCGCCACCTTTAGTTCTTGTCCATGGGTCATATATATAAGTTTTTTGGCTTCTACATTTCCTACATTATTCTTAACCTCCCCCTGTCTATCTTCTACCTACCATTTATGCTACCTATTCTCTGTACCTTTTCCCTCTCTCTCCTCCTCCCACTCCCCCACTGATAACCTTCCATGTGATCTCCATGCCTGTGATTCTGTTCCTGTTCTAGTTGTTTGCTTAGTTACTGTTTTTGTTTTAGGTTCAGTTGCTAATAACTGTGAGTTTGTTGTCATTTTACGGTTCTTATTTTTTATCTTTTTCTTAGATAAGTCCCTTTAACATTTCATATAATAAGGGCTTGGTTGCCCTGACTGGTGTGGCTCAGTGGATTGAGCAGTGGCCTGAGAACCAAAGGGTTGCTGGTTCGATTACCAGTCAGGGCACATGCCTGGGTTGTGGGCCACCTCCCCAGTTGGGGGCATTCAAGAGACAACCACACACTGATGTTTCTCTCCCTCACTTTCTCCCTCCCTTCCCCCTCTCTATAAGTAAATGAATATAATCTTAAAAAACGGGGGGGCCTTGGTGATGATGAACTCCTTTGACTTGACCTTATTTGGGAAGTACTTTATCTGCCTTTGCATTCTAAGTGATAGCTTTGCTGGATAGAGCAATCTTGGATGTAGGTCCTCGCCTTTCATGACTTGGAATACTTCTTTCCAGCCCTTTCTTGCCTGCAAGGTTTCTTTGGAGAAATGAGCTGATAGTCTTATGGGAACTGGTTTATAGGTAACTGTCTCCTTTTCTCTTGTTGCTTTTAAGATTCTCTCCTTATCTTTAATCTTAGGTAATGTAGTTATGATATGCCTTGGTGTGTGCTTCCTTGGGTCCAACTTCTTTGGGACTCTCTGAGCTTCCTGGACTCCCTGGAAGTCTATTTTCTTTGCCAGATTGGGGAAGTTCTCCTACATTATTTGTTCAAATAAGTTTCGATTTCTTGCTCTTCCTCTTCTCCTAGTATCCCTATGATTTGGATGCTGGAACGTTTAAGGATGTCCTGGAGGTTCCTAAGCCTCTCCTCATTTTTTAAAAATTCTTGTTTCTTCATTCTTTTCTGGTTGGATGTTTATTTCTTCCTTCTGGTCCACACTGTTGATGAGTTCCAGTTTCCTTCCCATCACTGTTGGATTTCTGTGCATTTTCCTTCATTTCACTTAGTGTAGCCTTCATTCTTTCATGTAATTTGTGACTAAATTCAACTAATTCTGTGAGCATCCTGATCACCAGTGTTTTGAACTGTGCATCTGATAGGTTGGCTATCTCTTTGTTGCTTAGTTGTATTTTTTCTGGAGCTTTGATCTGTTCTTTCATTTGGGCCATATTTCTTTGTTTTGGTGCACCTGTTATGTTGTAAGGGGTGGAGCTTTAGGTATTCATTAGGGCGGGGCAACCCACTTTGCTGTGTTGTGGCATTGTATATGGGGGAGAGGTCAGAGAGGGAACAATGTCGCTTGCTTGGCTCTCGCCCTGTTTTCAGTCACTTTCCCCCCTTTCCACAATCGAACTGCTTCCTTTCAGGTGCTTCCCTGGTGCTGATTCCTGGGTGAGTAGGCTTATGTTTGTTCTATGATCCTGTTGGCCCCTCCAATAGACTGTCCTGTGAGGCTGGGAGTTTCTCTAGCTGCCACCTCAACCCCCACAGGTGTTTTCAGTTAGAGGTTTTAAGGCTTTATTTTCTGGCACTGGAACCCTGGGTTGCACAGTCTGTCCCATTCCCCAGTTGTTCCTCTCAGTTTATCTGCACTCAAGTGTGGAACTGCCCTGTCCACCAGCTGCTGCCTGGCTGCTCATCTCTGCCCCTCGTACTGGTCTGGATGAATGCTTCTTCTTTGACTCCTTGCTTGTTGGACTTCCATACATTTTGGTTTTCTGGTATTTCTGGTTGTTTTCTCTTTTTAAATTGCTCGTTATCCTTCTTTTGGTTGTGCAAGAAAGTGAAGTGTATCTACCTATACCTCCATCTTGGCCAAAACTCTATTTATTTTTAGAAAGAGGGGAAAGGAAGGAGAAAGAGAGAGAAACATGATGTGTGAGAGAATCAGCGATCATTTGCCTCTCAAACTCGCAACCTTTTGGTCTACCGGCTGGCACTCAATTCACTGAACCACACCGGTCAGGGCAAACATAAATTTGTATCTCTGCTTTTACTTCAGATCCCCTCTGTGTACTGACATAATGATGTAGGGGTCTCTGGCTTTCGTAGGCCCTGGCATTGTGAAAAGCTGTTTGCTTTTTCTGAGTATCTTTTCTGTGTTTCATGATTCATGGCATTTTGTGGGCTACAGAAGTCATGCTTGTTTCTACTAAAAATTCACCAACTCTTGAATATAGATTTAGGTTCATCTACAAAGCAAAAAACATTTCTGTAAATATTGTTAATGGCCATTTCACAGAATAATTCTAAGCAGAATATTCTTAAATTAAATTTTTTAAAAAAGATTTTACTTATTTATTTTTAGAGAGAAGGGAAGGGAGGGAGAAAGAGAGGGAGAGACACATCAATGTGTGGTTGCCTCATGTGCCCCCCACTGGGAACCTGGCCCACAACCCAGGCATGTGCCCTGACTGGGAACTAAACCAGTGGCCTCTTGGTTCACAGGCCAGCACTCTATCCACTGAGCCACACCAGCCAGGGCCTTAAAATTTTTTTGTACCTATAAAGGTAATGCTTCAGCATGGTACAATTGGAATAATACCATGTTAACCTTATCTACAATTAATGGAGATTGGCTTAGTTAGTTATACTCTATATTTGATAACATGTAATATATATATATATAAAATATATTATAAACACTTGTGTTCAATAAAACGATAGCCCAATAACAAATGACATTTTATTATTCAAATGATCTTACAATATCAACACCAATGCTAATAAAATTATATAATATGTTGAATTCATAAATGGCAAAGTCAGTTGTAATTCACTTGAAGGTTCCCATATTTCAAAGTAAGGCTTTTGTAGAACAATGAAAATCCTCTATTTTGTAGAATTTTGATCTTTGCCTCGTAAAGGCGGGGCGAGGCAGAGGCGCCCCTGTGGCAGTGCACGGGCAGCGGAGACGGGACCTCCGGGTCGGCAGGCCCAGCGCCTGTGCTGCGGGCTCAGCCCACCCCCCGGGATGGAGCACTCCGGGCTTCCACCTTCCTCCTGGTGCAGCCATCGAAATGAAAGAGTAATTCAAATCTAGACAGATGTAGATGGGACTTCAGGTTCCACTCAAAGTTGATGTTTTCCCTTTTCATACTCTTTGCAATATAGGAGAAGTAAAATTAATTCTTCCTGTGAACTAAGATTTTTAAATACTGAGATGGGTCCTTCCCCTATTGAATGTGAGGAAAGCGGCTTTGCTCTCCCTGCTTTCGGCTGTTAGCCGCGACAGAGCTTACGCTCAGCGCGTCAGCACGGGGTCAGTGACTTGGCGACCTTTTAAAAGCAAAGACATACCAAAACGATGTTTTTTCAAAGAATATGTTAACAAATAAGGGCTTGTTTTGTTTATACATTCCATGGTTAAAGACAAAATTTGGATTTATTGTTATATTCAGGAAATAGGGATTTCATTGTTAGCCCTGTGTGTGCGTGTGTGTGTGCGTGTGTGTGAGGGGGGGCATTATTTTTCAGTTTGTGTAAGACTCTAACTTCCTGAGATCTCTCTAATTAGGTGAAATACTGGTTGAGGTACTTAGTCTTCTTACCAGGAATTGTAGGAAATTATACCTTGTACATTCATGAGAAAATGAAGTAGATTAACAGTTAATAACCTAATGAGACATCTGTTTAAACAGATTTTTTTTTTTTTTTTAATCTGGGAGCAGTGTAAACATGATTCTAAATTTACAAATGTGTTGGTTATTCTTCCTGGTCTGGGAGGTTGAGCCAAAGTGTTCCGCGATTAGAAGGAAGCCTGAGCCTGGAAGAATTCAAACTATTCCATAAATGCAGATACAGTAATACAATCACGTCAGCTGGCAGTTATTTAATAAGCACGTACGGGGCCTTCTGTTGCTTTGCTGCGCGGCTCACATACAAGTGACCTGAGTCACCCCGTCTTCCTGGTCAAAGGGTCCGTCCTCGAATTCCCGCAGGACGCTGTCGCTGCTGCTGAACCCCGAGAAGCTGCTGCACTGGGCCGGCCTCTCCTTCAGCCAGCACTCTCCCGGAGGAGAGGGCAGGCCCTCCGCGGGTGGGCTTCTGTCCTCGGCATATTGGGACGTGGCCGTATCTAGTCCGATGCTCCTACTGGTGACCTTGTTCCTATCTTCACCTTTTGCATGCCGGCTGGCTTTCCTCTGAAACAGAGATTGGCACCAGGGATTAAAAACATGGGTGCTTTCCTGTCCCCTGATCTAGCATATGCTGTTCTCTGCCCAAAATGCCCTTTTCCAGCTTCTCTTCAAAGTCCTGCTCATCTCGAGGGCTGGCTCAGAGCCCTTCACATTCCCGCCTGCCCCAGGGGGAAAAGCGACCCCCCACCCGCCTTTCACAGCCCTCCGTAGCTTCCTGGCACGGCATTCTCAGCAGTGGCGGGCTGCTTGTGTGCATGTCTGGACCCTCAGCGACACCCCTGAGGACAGAAACTGTTGAGATCACACTTTGGGGAACAAGGCGGGGTAGAATACATTCAAGATCCCATCTTCTTGGTGTAATTGGGATCGAACAACAGAAACGGGTCACCAGGGGCCACCCCACACCCGTTTCACTGAAGAATGGGCAGCACGGAAGAGTCACAGAAAATTCAGACCCAGCCTAGGCCTGGAGCTTCTTCCTGGGCCAGGCAGACCCCTCTCCTCGTCCTGCTACAAACTGCTCCTGCCTGATGGGGCTGGGGGCTTGGGGTGGGCCGGGGCCGCTGAGCCCCCGGACCAGCCCATTCTGCACACTGTCTGATAAGCTGCAGGTGTTTTTGCTTTGAAATATTTATTGAAGGCAGACAGCGTTCTTGGTGCAGTTCAGAATAAAGAGGAGGACACGGTCTCTGCCAAGGACGTGAGAAGACGTCTAAGTCAATGAAAGGGAAGGTCAAGGAGAGAGCTGGGGCAGCTCAACACGTCAACACGTGCACGTCCAGACTCCGATGAGATTTCTTCACAGGGGCTTCTTTAGTACTGACAACATGGCGTAGATGAGAATGCAATCATGCACTTTTAGGTACAGAACATGGAAACGAGTAAATTAAAAAAGGATAAAGATAAAATTTTAGAAGATAAATAAAAGTGATAAATTTAAAAAGCACAGTAATTTCCTAGTTTGCAAAGAGTTTGCTTGTGAGAAAACAGGGATTGCCGTTCAGTATAGCAGCATAGGTAAACATGGCTCGGCTCGCCTCCTTGCATGACCACATCAAAATTACAGCTGAACTACAGAACGACCAGAAATACAGCTGAATGGAAGTCCTGCAGCTATGGCATGAAGGAAGAAACCACACTGTGACTGGTAGAGGGGATGGAGATGTGTAACAGGTGCACCCTACACCCACGTGTGGCAGATAAAAATTGGGAGGCATATCTCAGGAGCGAGGGGTCCCAGCCCCTCACCAGGTCCCCCAGCCCAGGGATCCAGTGCCAGGAAGGTAAGTCCTCATAACTTCTGCCTGTGAAAACCAGTGGGATTTGAGGCTGTGGAAGACAAATTGCTAGAGTCCCAGGTAGTTCCTCTTAAAGAGCCCACACACAGACTTACTCGAACTTGCTCCCTCTGAGCTCCAGCATGGGAGCAGCAGATTAAAAGGCACCAGAGACATATGGGGAGGAACTGAAGTGCCTGGCATCAGTGAGAGCTGGGGGGCAGCTTACTCCCAGACAGAAGTGCTGGCAGAGGCCACTGTTCCTTTTCTGAGCCCTCCCCCCAACAGAGTGGGCAAGTGGGCACCACATCTGAGACTCTGTCAACCTGGTTCACTCTGATTGCCCTTCCCTGGTTATTCCCCAAAGCTCCACCCCAGCCAACTTTCAGGCCCATCGAAGCTGTTTTCACTGGCTTTTCCATACTGATGACTTGTCTTGGCTCATGCTTCAGGGTTTCCTAAATTCTCTCACACAAGCAGCATCTGGCCTCAGCACGTCCTGTACCTATTGCTAAGTGCCCCTAGGCCTGGCTCTAGCAGGAGCTGGCCTTGGTTCACAGCTTGAACTTGCTTGGGCACCTCCAAGCCCTACGAGTAGCAACTGACTGCAGATTACTTTGCAGCCTATGCTGGGTGGCCCTGGATAGAACACAGGTGGTGGCTGACCTTGGCCTGTACCTTCTGGGAGGTCCCAGAGCCTGCACACTCAGGGGGCAGCTACAGACCATGTCAGAGCACCATTACCCAACCACTTCTACAAGTGACAGACTCAAGGAGCGGACTAAGCAGGCACCAGGGCCCTGCTGAAGTAAGTCTTGCTTTGGGGAGTGGGACCCTGCACAGCCGATCCTCCATGGTGATCTGTGTTTTGTGTTCAGTGGTCACAGCCAGTTCTTGCAGTTGATGGGCCTGGGTAAATCCCTCTCATTGACCTGCCAACAGCAATCAAAGCTTAACTACAAGAGGAGGGTGTACACAGCCCTCCTAGTGGGCACACCTAGAGTGCCCAGTGTGGGTGATGGGGAGGCTGTGCCACTGGACTCTACAGGACACCTACTACATTAGGCCACACTTCCAAGCCAGGGAGTTGTAGCAGCTCTACCTAATACATAGAAACACAGAGAGGCAGCCAAAATGAGGGGACAAAGAAATATAGCCCAAATGAAAGTACAGAACAAAATTCCAGAAAAAGAACTAAGCAAAATAGCCCTGGCTGGCATAGCTCAGTGGATTGAGCGCGGGCTGGGAACCAAAGTGTCTCAGGTTCGATTCCCAGCCAGGGTACATGCCTGGGTTGCAGGCCATAATCCCCAGCAACCACACATTGAAGTTTCTCTGTCTCTCTATCTCCCTCCCTTTCCTCTCTAAAAATAAAAAAATAAATAAAATCTTTAAAAAAAGAGAACTAAGCAAAATGAAGACAAGCAATCAGCTAGATGCAGAGTTCAAAACACTGGTTATAAGGATGCTCAGTGAACTTAGTGAGAACATCAGTAGTATAAAAAAAGCATGGAAACCATAAAAACGAACCAGTCAGAAATGAAGGATACACTACCTGAAATGAGAGCAATTTACAGAGAATCAACAGTAGAATGAATGGAACCAAGAACCAAATAAGCTATTTAGAATATAAGGGAGCAAAAAAACACCCAGTCAGAACAACAAGAGAAAAAAAGAATACAAAAAAATGAGGATAGTGTAAAGAGCCTCTGCTACAACTACAAGCATTCCAACATTCGCATAATGAGGGTGCTGGTAGGAGAAGAGAGAGCAAGAAATTGAAAACCTATTTGAAAAATAATGACAGAAAACTTCCCTAATTTTGTGAAGGAAATAGACATATAAGCCCAAAAAGCACAGAGTTTCAAATAAGATGAACCCAAAGAGGCCCACACCAAGACACATCACTATTAAAATGCCAAAAGTTAACAAACAGAGAATCTTAAAAGCAGCAAGAGAAAAACAGTTACTTACAAGGGAGCTCCCGTATGACTATTAGCTGATTTCTCAAATGAAACTTTGCAGGCTGGAAGAATCTGGCAAGAGATATTCAAAGGGATGAAAAGCAAGGACCTACAACCAAGATTACTCTACCCAGCCAAGCTATTATTGAGAATGGAAGGGCAGTTAAAGAGATTCCCAGACAAAGAAAAAGCTAAAGGAGTTCATCATCACCAAACCAGTATTGTATGAAAGGTTAGAGGGTCTTCTTGTAGAAGAGGAAGAAGATAAAAAAATATGAACAATAAAATGGCAATAAATGCATAACTATCAATAATTGAATCTAAAACAAACGAAATGAACAAGCAGAAGAAAAACAGAATCATAGATACAGAGAATGTTTTAATAGTTGCTAGATGGTAGGGGAGTAGGAGGACGGGCGAAAAAATGTGGTGGCATTAAGAAGTACAAGTAGTTGTTACGGAATAGTCACGGGGATGTAAGGTGCAGCACAGGGAATATAGTAGCCAAAGAGCACATGCATGACCCCGGACATGGACAACAGTGTGGGGATTGCTAGAGGGAGTGACAGGTGCTGGGTGGAGGGGGCAAAGGGAAAAAAATTGGGACACCTGTAATAGCATAAACTAAAATATAATTTAAATTAAAAAAAAACAAAGTCTGTTTACTGAAAGTTCATTTATATGTTATTTGGGAACTGGGATTACACTTTCCTAAATATAAGAGTTAAAATTATAAATTTTTTTTAATTATAAAATTCTTAGAAAACAAAAAACATAGAAGTCAGATGCCCAGGTTAGTCTTACAAAGGTTTGCTAACTTATAGGCTTGTTGAACTGTACTATATAAAATACAAAAGTATTTTCTACTGGTTTTCAAAGCAAATATATAAAGCAAACAGCTTTATTAAATATATATTAAATATATTAAATATCCAAAGCAAATATCTAAAGCAAGCAGCTTTATTAAACTGGGCTGCTGTGGAATGTAACCCGTTTATGACGTGGTTGGTACAGGAAGATGCGGCCCTCAGCGTGCTGCCTGCAAAGGAGTGTTACTAGAGTCTTTGGGTAAGTTTAAGGGCACGGAATCTAAAAGGGTCCTACTTCAACAAAGGCCCAGCCTCATGGCACATTCTCATGGTACTGGGACCTGGCCAGTGAGGATCCCCTTTGGGCTGCAGGCAGCGCTGATGGGTACTGCCAGACGGGGCCCTTTCTCAAGCCTGGCTGCTGGCTCCCTTCCCGACGTGCAGAACGACCTCTCAACCCTGGCTGACTGACAGAAAGTGGGAGGACAGACTGCCTGGGAGCACTTGGCTGCCTGGTTCTTCCCTCCCTCACCCACACCAGAGCCAAAGGTAAATTTTGCAGTAAGTTCCTGTTGTATATCAGACAACACAGGCCAACTCTCACATACTGAGTGGGAATTTTCTTAGCAAAAATTGGGTATTTTCCAAAATAAGATAATATTATTCACTTGTAGATAGGTACTTATTTTAAAGTTTTGTTTATTGAATTTATTGGGGTGACATTGGTTAATAGAATTTTATAGGCTTCAGGTGTGCAATTCTATAATATACATCATCTGTGTATGGTATTGTATGCTCACCACCCCAAGTCAAATCTCTGCCCATCACCATTTACCCCCTTTACCCACTCCTACCTTCTGCCCCCACCCCCTTGCCCTCTGGCCATCACCACACTGTGTGTGTGTGTGTGTGTGTGTGTGTGTGTGTGTGTACATATATATACATGTATATTT